ATTCATACAGTACAGTCAAAGTGTGTGATTGTCACTGGGTTAGGTTGATGCACAGTGAAGTGATGTGAAAAGAGGCCAGAGGATGCCTGGTATTTGAATAGTGACATTGAGTTCAGCTGTTTTTGCCACTGACCCAACATGTTCCCGCAGGACCCCCACGTTCCGCTACAGCGTCAATTTGGATGAAGGCTCTTTTGAAGTTCAGTGTTGCGTTGCTTCCTCTGCCTTTAACAAATCGAAAGCACCAAACCAACTGTTACAAATGCACTGGCGTGTACTTTTTGCAGGTGAAGTTGGTGGTGTAACATATGAAAGTGTTTTATTGATTGATATTTTTTTTACTCATGGTCTGTCTGTGCCATGTGCTTCGGTTAGGAAACATAAAAATGACAAATTTCCAGTCGTGGCTCCCAGAACTCAATTTGAGAGTCTAGTCTCCAGGTATAGTTCCAAAGATCAAGAAAATTGTCCACGGCTGGTTCTCCCCTCACATCCCATAGGCTGATATAGGTTTGCCCAGCTGGCCAAGGTTCAATGTTGATGTCTCCCCCCCCCAAAAAAAAAGTATGGGGCTGCTGGATTTGTAAACAAGGCTGTAGATATGTTATAGGGAATGGATCCAAGAGAAAACAGGGAGAATAAATGTCAACATAAATGCTGGAGTATTTAAGGAACTGTAATAATTTGGGAACTTTACAGCCATCATGATTCTGTGACAGCGGCAGGCAGCAGAAGAAGTTTCAGATCAGCTGTAGTCAGGCTAGTCCGGTCTGAAGATCGGGACCTTAGGTAGGAATTCTATTAGGATTACCTGCAGGGAATAGGACAAAAGGCTCTAAGTAGTGAGTCAGGGATGTTTCAACAAGATTTAAGCCCCCCCCCCAATTAGTACCTCCTTGGATCGACTTGACACGTACCTGCTGCTCTGTCTGTGGCTTTTCATTAGACACGGGCACCACGATGTTGTTTCTGTGTGACAGGTACTTTTAAAAGTACCCGGTAACAGGTACTATCAACTAATGAAAAACCCTAATAACCATGTCAGGCTGTGCTGAGCCGACCCGAGTAGGTACTGATGAAAAAAAAACTTACTTCACTTGGAGGTTTGGCCACAGCGTTTATATCAAAACAGCCACCATCTCACATCTAACTGGGTCACAGATGCAAACCTGTGCAGGCCTATTTGTTTACTTCTGAGTACCAACTTAACTAAACAGATCGTGCTAAAGTTACTTTTTCTGAAATACAAAAAAAACCAAAAAACAAGCAGGCTGCCCGTGGCTATACGCAAAACTATGAAAAACAGGAACTGGCTGATAGATAAATGGCTATTGTGTTAGCATTACGAGGAAGCCAGATATATTAACAGCGGCAACCACAGAATATTACATTTTGTGTATCTTTACAAGAATCAATATGCTGCGTTTATACTTAGAGGAGCATGTCAGCCTCTTCTAAACACAATTAAACTGGCACAGAATCGGATGAAGTAGCTAAAAGCCGGCTGGATAAACAACATCTGTATATAAAAGCCCAGACACCATGACACAAAATTGCTAATGTTAGTAATAAGAAACGCTAATACTAGTAGGTTAAACTAATTTGTAATATTTTGTTAATGCACAACAAAAGACAAGGTGGTACACAACCACTAGCCAGGGCTATGGATTGCAGGAGCCCTATTTACTTAACAACTAAATATACTCAATTCAAAAGGTTTTTTTTTAACCCTTTCTTTTGGACTAACTGAGCAACAATGCGCTACACTAATCAATCAAAGACACGCAAGCATACACTGCAGATACAATAACTGCCTAATATCTGCGCTCAAAAAGGTTGGAGATATGATACTTTTCCATGGTGCAGCGATAAACCTGTAACTACATGAACAACCAGAAACCAACCCTCGGCACAATTTATCATCTAAAATAGTACCTTTTGAGTTAAAATCAGCAGCTTTTTAACGCAATCTGGTAGTGGGTGTAACACCTAGTATACTTTCATTAACTGTACTGGGATAATTGCACCACTGAAAAGAGCTAATACTTACATATTCCATCATGTTGTTGGTTTCACACTTCCTTTTGCTTAGTCTCCAATGCAAACACAACTACACAGAAACAGTGATTATAGAAGATTAGAGAAGTTTCATCAACCCACACATATCAAATGATGCCTTCATTGCTTACCTTGTGGTAAAGTCTGCTGTTCTCCCACTCCAAAAGTTTCTCTATAGATCTTCTTGTCTGGAAAAAGATATTAGATGATACTGTTGTGAAAAAATGGTCTCATATCAACTTAGTGCACAACATTTTTTGTCTTGTTCACTGTGATGCTGCAGCAAATATCGCAGATTCTCTGGGTAACATTTTCAAACTGTGGGACGAAGTGAATGGGCATCTCACCCTTTTGCTGAGGCAGATGACGGGCCACAAACTGAAGCCCAGTGTGCAACAGCAGCAAAGACAACCACACAGAAGCCACCGCACATTCACCGGGAGTGTCTTTCTTAGGCAGCTGTTCACACGATTGATACTGGCTTTGAATTCCTCTGGTGCCACCTAAGGGAAGCACACAGTATTACTTTTATTATTAAAAGTAAGTATATTCACACTTTTAGCACCATTAAATGTGCATCAAATATCTGTATTTCGTACAAAAAAAAAAAAAAAAAGAGGAAAGAAATTAATTTAAATGAAGCACTACATGTTGATTCTGATCTAAATCCCACGGTCATGGTTTGCTTTCAATAAAAACAACACACTCACCTTTCCTGTAAGTGCTGAAGGAAATTCTGACTCGAATTTGTTACTGAGTCCAAACCTGAAAGTAGGTAAAAAATTACATTTTTACTTACAACATTAAAGATGAAACTGTATCAGACATGAACCACTATTAGAGATTAATTATATACTTTTAGTGCAGATATTAAAAATTACATCGCAACATCTTTCTGAGACCCACAGCAAAGAGAAGCTATTTACTTTATCAGAACAAAAATAATTATTTTATAATTCATCTAAAACATTCAAAGATAATATATAATACACAGTTCAAACATCCCATACATCTGTGTACTATCACACAGACCTGCTTATTTAGCTTCTGTCACTGTTTATTTTGAATTACACAAACAAATCTAATGTTCAACGCAAAGAGCAGCGTAGTGTAAAACGCTGTGAGAATGAATGTGAGGCACTGTTAAATTAAAGAAACAGTACCAGTAGGTTAAACTCCCCAAAACAGTTAGGACACAGATTTATGTTTGGAGGTAACTCAACTGTAAGCTCATTTCCACCCAACTAAACTGGTCATTTAAAAAAAACAAAAACCCAACTTTTAAATTCACAAATGTAAATTGGCTGAAATACGGAGGTATATTTATCCATTCAAGGCACAAAACTTTAACAAACTGCAACCTTTATCCCTTTCCTGTCTTTATTCTTAGTATTTGTACGCTTGATACCCTTTTTTTTTTTGAAGAGACAAGGTAAGATAAGCGGAAAAAACAAGTTAAGCATATACTTGTTTGGAAAAAAGCTCTACTCTCAGTACAGTCAACTACTTAAGAATACAATTTATTTACTCAAGATGTGGATACGTTAATTATTACTAGCTTTAATTGTGAGAACACCTATTTACGGACACAGTACTGTCTTGTGTTGTAATGATCAGTATAAACAGCTCTGGAAGTCTGTACTTAACTTCAGAAAAATGAAACCAGTGATGGGAACACGTTGTCACAACTTGACAATAGCTACAATAAAAAAAAATCTCAAGAAAGTTCAAATTTGTCTGAAGCTAGACCCGATCATTCACTTCTCGGTTAGTTAGCTTGCTGCTAAGTTAGAAGCTAACTAGCTATGCTATGCTAAGCCAGACAGCGGCAGCTAACGCAGCTAGCCACCGGTTACCCACGGAAAGCTGTGTTAGCTGCCGCATTTTACAGTAACGTTAAACTGTTTTGTAGACCCCCGGGAGCTCTGTCAGTTCCTTACACAGTTACGTGACCGGACCCTCGCACCACTACCGGGTCCGGAGCGTACTTAAGGAGCTGTTCTTCCGCGGCCCTGTCCTCGTCCTCCTCTTCCTCCTCCTCCTCTTCGTAGATCTCATCAAAGTCCTCCATCATCGCACGACTCGGCCTCGCGCTTCCCGGGACAGACACCGGGAGAGACACGATGCCGACAAACAGCGAAACCTTACAGAGAAATAGGACAAAAAGTATCGGGAAGACGGCCACAAAAATATCGAGCAGTCCCGGAGACGATACAGTTTCACATCGTTCTGAGAGCTCTGAAACAAAACATCAACATCCGCCGCAGTAACCGTACGACACCGGAAGAGGGACAGACTTCTTTTCAGACTTTTTTTTTTTTAACAAGCACACAAAACAAGGCTTTGACGTCGCGTGTAATTCTTATATGTACTTTTTGTTAAATCAAATAAAATAAAATATGATAGCAATCCATTTTGTTTGGATGCACTTTTCATAGAGGTGTAATTGAGGAATGTACAGATGTACAGAAAAATACCAAGAACAGCACAATTCACAGTTAACAACGAAGGGCACTATATTAAATAACAATATATAAAATATGTAAAACTAATTCGAGAAATATTTGTAAACAAGTATTCAAATTACAGCTCTCTGCAATGTACTAACACAGGAAGATGGATATCTGTAAAAATCCCAGGTCATTCCATAGATAGATGTTTTTGAAGGCATCTATCTGTGGAATGACATTTACTGCTGTCTAGTGATACTGATATTCCACAGCACATTTTATTTAAAAAAAAATCAGAGTTATCACAATTTGACGCACTGATGCGTGTGAGAGGTTCAAATGGCAAAAAATATTTAAGTCTCACTTGCTCAGTAAAACAAAGGGAGAACTGAAGTATTGCATTAAGTTTCCTTCATGCTCTTTGAACTGAGTTATTATTATTTATAGTTTTCATAATTATTGACTGTAGCATTTAATCACTGGCAGTTTTATGTCATTTTAAAAACCTTTATAAACTATTGAGCTTTTCAGTCGGTGTTTCACAGTCTAATATGGTGTCTTGATGCATACTCAATCATGCATGCTCAATCTCCCAACTATTTAGGAGTCTTGCATGTTGTTATATGAAGATTATTGAAGTATCTTACACCTGTACAAATACTTGTGGTAAAGAAAAAAGTAAATCTCTTCACTTTGAGCAGAAGGCGCAGAGGTGTGAATGATAGCTAGAGGAAGGGCAGTTAAAACCGGAAGCTGAGCAAAGTCTTTTTCAAAATATGACTTGAATGTCGTTGGTTAAATCTTAGAACATACATGTTTTTACTAAAATAAATTAGAGGGAAACTTATTTTGAAAGGTTTACCGAGAGGTTTTCTTATTACCCATGCTAGCCTCTCTGATTCATACCTAGCTAGATGTTTGTACAATAAGTTAATTTGGTGTGCTTTTTTTCGATATATTGCATCACAGACTGCACACCATTTTTATCCATCAAAAAGGAAACATCCTGAGAAGGTTACAGAAGCCTTCAGCTCGAAACATCCCGGAAATGGCACTTCTTCCTCTTTAGGAAGTGAAGACATCGATGAAGCAGTTCGGCAAGTCTTGCTCAACTTCTATTTAGCTCATTAATCGTGGATATCCTGAGTTGGATGATAAAATGGCTCTCACTGAGCATATTAAGATGATCTGCAAAATTATCAAAGATATTGTTCCAGCTTTCACCAGCGGGATTGTCACAGTGAGCATCATATCGTGTGTTTTATTTGCAATCCAAACATGTTTGAGCTTAAAACAAGGCATCTTCAGCATCGGCGCAAGTGTTTTTCAAAACGGACACCTATACTGCATCCTGATGTTTCCCTTTTACCACCGAACCTTTGCTCAGCTTCTTCTGAACATCACAACTTTGGTGTTTCTCAGCGGGAGCTTGGAGAAAGGTGTGGGGACGGTCCGTTTCCTCTTTCTGTTCCTCCTGCTGTCCTCGATCATAGGCTTGTTTTACAGCTTCATGGATCTCCTGCAGGAGGACGGCTTCCAGAGTCACACTGAGGGTTTGGTTCCCGTCACTCTTGCCTCTGTGGCCATAACTACCATGCACACAAAGATGACTAAAGCCTTTCTATGTGGAGTGAGTTTTCCCACTATGGCCCTTCCTTGGGTGTTCCTTGTCATCACCACTGCTCTGGTCCCTCACTGTGTGCTGCCCTGTAATGTGATTGCCATCCTGGTTGGGGTGATGTATGGTAAAGGATGGGTCTCTTTTCTGGACATGTCTGAGGCCAAGGCTGGAGTTCTGGAGAAGTTGTTGCCTTTCAGGCTGTTCAGGAGCGTCAGCGGTGATATGTTCATCCCAGCTTCCTCCGAGGACAGGAAGAAGACCTTGCTTCCACAGATCAATCCCACACCTGGGTCTTACCCAGTGCAGGCTTATGCTCCATTACCCACTGCCAACACTGCTGCCATGACTTATGAAGGCTGGCCACACCAGGCGAGTCCCACACCACCTCTCACTCTTCATGGACATATTGCAGGACACAGCTCTGGACACTTTTCACCACAGAGTTTCGACCACAGCTGCAACCACAGTCACAGCCATGGCCACGGTCACAGTCACGGTCATAGCCATGGCCATAAGAGCGGAGGATCACTGTTACAACAGTAGATGTTTTCAGATGAGTTTGCCTTGGCAAGGATCCACTTATGAAGGCTTATCCTATAAAAGCTACTCAGTTTTTATCATCTATAACATCCTGCAGCATCTCAGCACTGATTGTGTTTCTGCCTGCTTGTATAATTAAGTCTAGTTGTGTTTTTTTTTGAAAGTTCAAATATTTCTGGTGACTTGTCATTTTTAAAAATTCTAATTTTCTATATTTTTATTCCTACTAATTAAAAATTAAATAAAAACCTTCTAATCTCTTTCTTACAAATTGGAAACCATAATTGATGCACAGAAGTAACAATACAGACCCTAATAGGGCTGTATTAGCTGCATGGTCAACCCATAAGAAAAATGACTAATAACCAGTGTGCAGTGTTGTTGGAGCAGTCATGTTTTCCCAGTATTTTCTAAAATATTCCAATCTTTTTATGGTAGTATTAAAAAATGTATTTTATTTTATTAGACCAACTTCAACTTACCAACTATTCATGGTAAGAAATGCATGTAAATAATTGCAATTTGGCATCAAGAAAGCAATCATGTGCTTTACCAGTTTTTGTAAAATAGTACATTTGAAAATTCATGGATAACTATATTTTAGCATTAAATATATTTTGATTAATAGTGTTTGCACATACTGGTGGAATAACCAAATAACACCAAATATGATTTTTATGCCAGTGCTATTAATTTATGAGAGCTGCTGCGTAATCCTTATGCTAGTTGATGGTCTAGTAAAATTGCTAAGCACTGTATCTTTCTATTTTTCTTTTTTTGTCTGATTATCTGAATTTGGTGTCAGCAGGATGTACTCCACTTCCTGTGTTGCATCTAGACAAACAGTCCAAACAAATTTCACTGATTAGGTTTAGAGAGTGGTTTCCTTTGTGGTTTTGGTCCATTTCTCTGCAAGTTAAGTTGTCATGTTTACGCCTAAATTAAAGGCCTCTGTGATGAGTAAAACAGAAGTTTCTCTTTCACTACTAAATTCACTGTTGTACTTACACCATGGTATTAAACATGATGCAATTACAACAGTGCTTAAATCATTGTAACAACTGCAGGTTAGGAAAGAGTCTTAAACTCTGGATGCAAGTTCAAACAAGTCAAATGCACCTCCAGGGTTTTTTGTTTTGAACCTTTGCCTTTATCCTAGTTAATAGAAAATTTTTGATAAATTCACATTAGTGCGAAAACACAGAGCACCAAGACCTGAAACTGTTTGGTTTTATTAATACTTAAAAGACAAAATTATCATAATCTTGTACATCATGAAAAGTAACCACTGAAAAGCCCGTGTCCTGTACAATCAGTGACACTCGAATACTGATCGCATCTTATTTTCACCAAAGGACTCATTCCTCCCAAGCGTCTCCATAGATGTTCTTCTTCACTGTACAGAGACAGAAGGAGAAATGCAAGTTATTTTACAAATTACTTAAAAGACAGGCTGTACTTGAAAATCTACCTCTATCTATCCACCACCATTTCTTAAGGAAATTATCCTAGTCCTCCTGTAAGGTGCAATCCACACTGCATCATGAATTATAATAAAAGGCAGTAATGACGTCACATTTCTCCCTCCCTACTATTTGTTTCCATGCCAGTTGCTCCTCTGCTTGTTCACGATATAGATGCAGGCGCATCACAGGAATAAGATTCTGCTGCCACGACTAAATAAGATTTTCTTCTTTGATGGACTTCCAGACATTTGGTTTTGTACATTTTACTTCCTTGAATTCTATAAGATTTTTTTTTCTCTCAGCTGTTGACATAATTTAATTATTGTGCCATTTAATGCTAACTTACAGACATTGTCAGAATTATAGACTATGTAGCAACTCCTTTAACAGCTAACTTTGAACCTCTGTAAGACACCACTTTAGAGACACAAACATACAGTTCTATAATGTTGGTTATCTTCCATCTAGTTTGGCCAAGGAAGGAAAAAAAAGTATATACATCAAGTTCTATATATGCCTTAGCAGTAACCACCTACCATCTTTCTTGGGTCTTTCTGGCTCTTTTGCAGGTGGTGTTTTGAGCAATGCGTCAGCTTTCTGAGTGAGTGTGACCTCATAGTTCTCTCTGTTTTTGAGCCTCAGGTCCTCATAGAGGATAGACTTCCTCTTGGGCTCCTCCTCTTCCACATATGACTGAACTGAAATTTACAGGGCAAAAGATGGGATTTAAAAAAAAAAAGTTCATTTCTACTGGAAAGTTTTGTTGAAATGTTTGGATGATTAATATAACTCAGTCTGTGAATTCAGTGGACACCCTTTGCAACTTACATGTTTAATCTCACTAAGAATACAAGTTACAATATAACATTTGCAAAAAAGTAGTTTGATGCTTTATACACTGATTACTTTTTAGAATGAGAGGATTAAAAATTAAAAATAGTATTTTGCAAAGACGTATGTTTGGAGGTGTGAAGGGGAGACTTTTAAACCCAAGAACACTGTATCATCAAGCATGGGGGTGGTAGTTTATGATCTGCAGCTGTTTTGGTGCCAGTGGTACATTATACAAAGTGGAAAGAATAATGAAGAAGGGCCACGTCTTAATGCATGCTCAATAATCCACGTAAGGAAATCTGAAATCTCAAAACAGTTGATTTTGTTCATCTGGACGCAGCTACCTCCTAATTCTTCAAATTCACCTCAAATCAGCAGACAAACGATTGAAACTTGGACACAACTGAGTGTTCCAACAGGACAATGATCTCAGTACTTTAAAACTGACTTTGCAATAGATAAAGCAGGTTGCCATTAAGCTGGAGTTGCCTTCAGAAAGCTTACAACTTAAAGTCTATTAAAAAACTTTGGAATATGCTTAAAAAGTCAGACCTGTACCACAAAATCAACCGATTTAAATTAACCAAGAAATCCAGCCAGCATTATGCCAGAAGCTTGTTGATGACTACCAGAAGCATATGGCTAAAGTGCAACTTGCTAAGGGACATATAACAAAATATCAGGGGAGATATGTGTATATATTTTTGAGCCTGTGTGGATTAGAGAACATCCAAAGTAAATTCAAATTTGTGCAACCAGCTCTTGTTTTGTTTTGTTTTTAAAAAAAAAGTAATTTCAGATGTATGCCGAACAAGAAAAACTAGTAAATGCTGGACTTTGATGACCACCTAACTGTAACAAGTGAAAAGGAAAGAAAAGGTCTTTCCTTTTCACTGGTAGCACTTTTCTATTCTTGCTGAAAGCAAAATTCAGAGAGCACTTTATCAATACAATATTCACACTCGTGGAAAATTAACTGAAGATGGCTAGTGGGAGCCACAAACTCATTGCAAAAAAAGAGAACAGGAAGCTTTGGCCCCAGGACTTTCTTTTGGTGAGCTACTGTGGAGAACTCAATTGTGAATAACCCACATATTGCCCATTTGGAATACCTGGAGCACTAAAGTCATCTCCTCTGTCCATTTGTGCTGGTGGGTCTGGACTGTAGCCATATCCATAATCTTTGCTGTAGGTGTGGCTCGAGGCTTCTGCAGGCTGGAATATGGGTTCAAAAGACTGAGAGTCTGGGTCACCTAACTCTGACTGAGGACCCTGGGATCTGTAAAGAAGGGGACAAAATGCTAAAGGCAATGCTGCTGACAGTTAATCTCAACAGGCCAGCATTTAATTAAGTGTATGTGATACTCACTTCAGTGGAGGCAGGCCTGACTTCTGTCTGATAATCTCTCCAAGAGGTGAGTTCTCCAGCCTCTTGAATTTTTCCTGACATGTTTTCATATATGACAGTTTTCCAGCCAGGTAGCCACAGAAACCAGCAACTGTAGGGTCAAACACAGTCAAAAAAAAAAAAAAAAAAGAAATGAGAAAACAACACAAACTGAGTTTAACAGAGAGGTTTTTCTTATTCTACTCAGTAAATACAGGGCACGTGTGTGTATGTGTGTTTCCCACATATTTAACACTTATAAACTTACAGGCAACTTTGGGTAAAGATCCAAATCTTGGAGATGCAGACAAAGCCCCTGCAAATTTAACACATTCATGTTAACTTGAGTATCAACATGTGACAATGTTCATTTAACTGATATTGTGCTGATTCCAGTACAGCAGGGATGTTAAACACATGGCCCTGGGGCCAGAATGATCTCGCCCCTCTGGATGCTTTAGAGAATGTGAAAATTACAAAGGAGAGCATAAATTTCAACATTTCACTGTGCTTTCTGTCAGTTTTAGAGCCATCTTACAAACAGAAACATCAGCAACCCATCAACAGCTCAGTCCTTGCCAGTCCCCAAGACTCCATAGAGGAGGTGGGTGAGAGCAGGAAGTTGACCATGCTAATGTTCATTATGGACAACACCTCTTACCCCCTGCATGAGACTGTGGATGCCCTGAGCAGGTCCTTCAGCAGTAGACTGTTACAGACACTGTGTAGGAACGAGCACTATCGCAAGTCCTTCATCCCAACAGCAGTCAGAGTGTACAATGTAGACACAGGAAAAACACCATCTAAAAATACTTGTGTATAAATATAATGTCTAATTTACTTTTTCTTTCTGACCCTTGTAACAAAGGAATTTCCACAGTGTGGGATTAGTAAAGTATCTATCTATAATTATAGATTTTTTTAAATTCTTGTTAATACTCCATTAATTAGCAGAAGTTCAAGTTTTTCACTATGTTCTTTAGAAATCAATGTTTTGTGGTAAAAATCAATCAAATTTATCTGTAAAATAAAAAACAAAGTAACATTTCTTTCTAAACATTTAAGACCAAAGTGACACGCTGATTCACTCCCACATCTTTTCTTTATAAATTGTTTTCATAAGACTTCTCTTATGTCTTCAGAGTGAAAGAAAGAGGAACACTTTATAATACGTATGGCTGATCTGTCCTATTGAAGACCAGATTGGACTGCTCTGAATGTGGCCCACTGTGTAAAATGAGTTTGACACCCCTGCTCCACAGTATGAACAACATTACCTCTGGCCACTAGGGCTTGGGTGATAGCCATGCTGATCACAGAGAAGGGCACCGCTGTGGAGAAATCATAATGATGTCAGTGTAAACACGACGGAGTCACAACAAACAACATTTTCACATCCTAAACCATCAAGCTGGCGTGCACGGGAAACTTACACCTGTAAAAAAAGCTCTCCTGGTTGCACTCTCTCAACACTCTCCTCTCTTCTTCTGTGGGGATGTAGTCAATGTTCAGCGGCGTCTGCAGGTTAACGCAAACACCTTACCGTTAGTTAACAGCCGCTAGAAGTCATAGAAATCCACGCAAACGTATCCATCTTCAAATTACTGAAATTAAAACGGAGGGCAACAAAGCACACACCCCTCTCCATAAAACTGCGCGTGCGGTTCATCCAAAGTCACTGCCAGCTACCGTAAGCTAACGTGTTAGCATCTAAATTAGTGCGTGTTTATCTCCATGTTTTACCTGCGCCGGTTGGTGCTGCCGCTCGCCCGGGAAACCTGTAGTGGAGGACGACATACTGACGATAATGTCAAGCTTCCTGACACCTCAAAGCATGTGAACTAACATAGTATAAGCCACTCGGCGTACTGACTTCTCTAGTGTTTGGTACAATGTCATTGCTACAGATAGCGTCGATAGCGTTGATATTAACCCGGAAGTTGAAGGAAAGTTGCATTTGTTTAGCTAACAAAAAAGGAGAAAAGAAAAGAAAGCCTGTTAATCTCAGTTTTACTGCTGGACTGTAATCTCCCATGAACATTATTCCAAATAATAAAAAATAAACATCGTTGCAATTGTATTACTTTAAAACATCAGAAAGCGCTCTCAACTGGGTCTTTTATTTTGGAAAAAAAAGGCTGTTAAAGCGGTACCAATGTTGTCAACCCGCTCCCTCTAGTGGATGTGTACTATTTTCTGTCACTTTCCGGTTCACATCTTCATATTATGCAAACTATTTAATTGTTTTCGTAATCATAACTGCCTTATTGTGTGGCTATTGGTTTGCTGGTAAGAAGAATTCATTTTTTTAGAGCCACACGCCCAAAGAGATCCGATACTAATGAGAATTATTTTTATTGGGTGAACAGTAGATGGGTCAGCTGGTGGGTTAGATGCATCTCACAGGTCCTGTGTCAGGTCTTTGGTGAATTTTTTCGTTTCCTAAGGACATGACTTTTAGATACTGCTTATCTGCTGCAGATATAAAGCGCATTGAGGCGACCTTTGTTGTGATTTGGCGCTATATAAATACAATTGAATTGAATTGATATTTTTAGGCCTGCCTTTTTTGTCTTCCATTTGTCCAGTTTGCTCAAATTTATATGCACACACTGCACACCATGCCGAGATATGCCAAGTTCTCGTCTAATTTTTCCTTGGGAATTCCTTTGTTGGTCCAAAAATTCTGTTTCTTGCCTGTCAAATAGTGTAATCTTGGACATTTGTCATAGAGTCGGTTAAAGACGGTTAAAGACTCTATGACTCTACTTTATTACTAGTAGTATGATTACTAGTAATAAAGTAGTAATCAGACTACTAGTAATAAAATAGCTGAAGATACAATTTAAAAAGGGTTCTTTGCTAAGTTGTCTGTTATGTGTAGACACAACACTGTTTCATCTCTTAAATTGCACAGCCTTTTCATGAACAAATCATTCATAGGTCAGTATTAAGTGACTTAAGAAACAAAAAGCATTCCTGTGAAAATAGCCAGGTGCAAGTACTTTGATTTAATATAAACAAAAAAGCAGCCATTGTCTTTTAAAAGACCTTCATAAAACTGAAGAAGCATTTCTCAAGAACATTTTAAAAACATGACAAGAAAGTCTGGCTGCTAGAAAGCAAAATGAGGGGTGACTCAAGATGTTTGCGCAGTTTGTCACATAATCATATATGTCTCATCATATTACATTTTACAATACTGCAATTTTTATAATATACATTATGCATGCTACGTAATATTTCAATTGAATAACACATTACATTTTACTATAATTTTGTCCATGTTGTGCTGATTATTTAGACTTATTTTATTATTACTAATTTTTCTGTACTTCGTTAGTGATGTATCAGTTTAGGAACCATTAATGGCAACTTGATTTTCATTAAAAATAATATACGGGGCCACAAATGGGTGATAAGAGCCAAATTGTGCAGTGCTGTAATATCATGGTATAGTGCCTAGATGATGCTGTTGCACTTGTAAACTGAAAAAGACTTTGCCTCACATCCTCCTGAGAACCAGCCTATAAATTTATGTCCTCTTTAATGGACAATTGTTTTTGTTCTATGTCTTTGGACATATTTGAGCTACCATAATAAGCCCTGTTGTGTTCAAAAGAGAACATCCTGGCTTTTCCAATGATATCTCATGTGTTTGGGTGGCCTCTTTCAGCTCCAAATAGGCTGGATATCACAAAAGAAGTTCAACTAAAACATAATTGTTTCCTTGGTTTTCAGAAGGACATGACATGTAGAGGCACATATATGCATTAAAGGTCTTTTAATGCTGCTATTAAGGAGACGACCAAGCCTGTGAATCTTTGTATCCTAAGCATGTTCAAAATAAGTACAACAGAAGAGAGACCACAATCAATAAAAGTAAAAGAAAACTAAAAGACGAGGTCAGTTGTATCCTTTGTCACCTTAGTTATCGTCCATTTGGTTTTACTGCATGGCAGGAGATGCAAGGCTAAAGGGTATATGTGCCTTAACTGTGTTGGTGTGCGATGGAGGTGCTCCTGTTTAGGGGTAAGGCCAAACTGGAATACTAAGGCATAATCAGCCAATTAGAACTGTAGCTGGGGAGTTGTAATTTGTGGGCTTTTGGGACAACCAGACGGGCACCTCAGTGCACTGGGTTGCAGAGGGGCACAGCGTGGCTTCTGGGACAATCAATACTGGCAATGGTTTCATTAGGTCACTGCAGAGTTACTTGAGCTAACCACGCTGTTACATAACTGGGCCACTCAAGTAGCTCTAAGCTGTGGTATAGGTACAAATTACTTGCTGAGTTAACTGTGGCACTTTGGTTTGTTTTTTGGATTATTAATATTAATATTAACTACCCCCATTTCACCCCCATGGCGCAGCTACCATGGAGATTCAGTGCATCACTCTGGCGCAGATTGACGTTTTTTTTTGTGAAGAGTTTTATGGAGCTAAACTTAGTTCACTGGCAGTTTGAAATATTGACCAATGGGTAGCTGGATTAGGAAAATCAATAATTTCTATCCAAAAATGCTCCAAAAATACACTCAAGTTGGACTTGTATGACATTATAGACCCACCCCACCCCCAATACAGTCAATGATCACACCCCACTGCCCTGTGTGGTATAAATAAATCTTTGTCAGGGCATCCATTGTGTCTGTCACCTCTTTCCCATGTTAATCTCAGGGTCCACCAGCTGGAGATATCCTCACTCTGAGAGCTGTGCATGAGACATGCAATGAAGAATTATTTTTTTAACAGCTAAATTAAACACAGAGTTTTTGCTTTAAGAGTTCATGTTTTAAATGGACGATCATACTTTCAAACGGGACACGCAAACAGAACTGATTATGAGTTTTGCGTGCAAAATGTACAAAGTACGTCGGTAGGGTAAGTTTAGCAGCAGGTGTGGAGGTGCAGTTGAAAGCTGACGCCACCAGCCTGAGACTTATCAGGTACAATGTGAGTTGGATTGCAACACCACTGACAGAAAGATTAAAGCCGAGTCAGGTAAGAATAATCAAAGTTTGGAAGGTGTGTTCTTCTTATCATCGTGACAGAAGTGTTCCCGGTGATGTGAACACTGCACATCACATTTTTTTATCTGCATGAAGGGAGCATTTTAAAACCTGAGGCCAAAGTAAAAAGTGCACGGGAAGGATGGACACACTACACCCGCCACAGGTGAGGACAGACATGTCTCAGTCAATCTTCTAATTATTTTTGCTGCTGTTAACTGAAAACTGAATGCAAAACTGGAGTATTTAAATTAATAAAATTATATAATGGATTGGGAGAATCAGTATGGGTCAAGAGTTCATCAACTGTAACATTTGTATGGTAACATGAGGATGTGTGTAGATTTTTAAATTATATTTATTTATAAATTCTTAAAATATGTTTTAACATACATACTGCTCATACAGTATGCATGTGGCTCTTAATTCATGTGAAAAAAAAAAACACGTTTATTGTTACTGAGCTGGAATTCAGAACAGAAAACACTGAAATTAAGTCTGAAAATGATTGGATGTGGTCCACTGAAGCCCATCATGTGAAAACTAAAACTGACGTTCAATATTAGCTGTGCAGTAATCCTCTTATGAACGAGTAATGATAGAAAACAGGGCACAGCTTAGACAAATAGTGTACACTTAGAAACTTTAAAATTATATTGTTTATTAAGTATAAACAATAGCAAAATGACGGAACATACCCCACAGTGTTTTCTTTTTGTCATACTGTCCAGTGACTGGAATTTTACTGGATTACATGTGACACAAAGATCAATACCCTGGCATGAGAAAAGATAAGTGTGTGTGTGTGTGTGTGTGTGTGTGTGTGTGTGTGTGTGTGTGTGTGTGTGTGTGTGTTATTCCTGAAGCCAATACCTGCTAGAGAAAATTAGTTTGTTTTAATAAGCGAGGAGTCGATACAGCTGAATGAGGTTTTCTGTATCTATGCTTAGTTTGCTGCATTGTTAGTTAACGACAATCATCACTCTAACAAATTGCTGCAAAAATAGAGGAAATTTTACATACACTGTTCCAAAAAACAGTAATGTCAAAGTATCTTACTGTATATTTTACAGTTTTGTACTGTCTTTCTAGAATATCATTAAATTTACATAAGTAGACTGTGATTTTACATGTCAAAGGTAAAATAACATAACATCACTATAAATATAGTAAAATACAATTTACTTGTTTTTTAAAAATATTTTTTTGTACATATGCATATTCAGATTGTAAAAATACATTCAGAAATGTATCATAATTTCACAAATATTTGTCTGTTATGTGAGAGAATGATCTGTTAAATTCAAATGTAATACTATGGAAAAATATATAAAATGATCGAAAATGAGAATAATCAATAATTAAAGGAGTATTTGAATTATAATTTTGCTGAAAATTTCATGTCATCTAGGTTTGATTCAATAATTCAGAGGTAACAAGTGAAAATATAATTAATAGGAATAAAAACTAAAAAAACATATAAAACATTGCACGGACACCCTCGGTATTGTGTCCGTGGTCAAGACTCTTCACCTACTGGTGATGGCCAGAGGGGCCAATGGTGCAATATGGCAGCCTCGCCTCTGTCAGTCTGTCCCAGGGCATGCAATCCATTATTATTTAAACCACAACTGTTAACTGTATATTTCTGTACATTTACGTATTATGATTCATATTGCCACATTCATTGACCTTGTTTAGAGGTAATTTCATTGTTTGATCACGTTAAAATGTTCCTAATTTAATGTCTAAAAGCACTTGGAAAAGGCAGAATCCCATGTAAAATTAGCACAACAAACTCTATTTTCATTACTGAAAATAACCGTATTTTTATGAGGAAGTTATTTTCTGTTATTTTACAGTAGTATTTTGGCGCCCCAGCTGCTGGAATATTACAGTTTTTTTAGATGTTTTCTTTAACAGCGTAGCAATGCATCATTCTTTTTAAAAGCTTGCTGCATTTAGGGATAACAGCAAGCTACTTTACATTTTATGTATAATATGGTGTTTTTTCTTTGTGTTATCTAAATATTACAATAACGTTGATATAATGTAAGTATTATTTATGCTTAAGAATAGTTTGAGAATGACTAAAGCTAAATGAGTGAAAATGAATCTGATTTTTTTTCAGCAAATGGCTACAAAAAACAAATGTAAGGAAGACAACGATGAGAAAAATGGATATAAAAGTAAAGGTGTGTAAGGAAAAGCTACTGATTGATTTAATCAGAATTACATGTGTGTGTGCAGCAGGACAAAAATGGTCTTTTTTCTCATGTTTATAGAAATCAAAGCGAGCCCTGCACATTCCACTGCGGCTCTGATCGTGGATGAGCCGGAGGAGACAGATCCATGGGACCTGCCAGAACTGAAGGACGCGGGTGTCCCGTGGTCAGGTGTAGACTCGTTGTTTCTAATAGTACAAGCAATGTCTCATCAAGGACTGTGATAAGACAGTCCTGATAAGATGTGCACATTGTTAATAACTATTGCATTTACAAATCAAGCCTAGTGATTCAGAACATTAGCTGTACATTACACCATAAAGAGCTGCAGTAAAACACAAAGTCCTGCAGCTAAAGAGTTACTGTTTGTTACGGTGATAATTAAAATATTCACTGAGAAGCTTTTATATTTGATTTTTAAACAAAGTGAAAAACCCCCCAATAAGTTTATGTGTTTAGGAGTTTTCCCTCATGTACACCATATTAACATAATTCAGTGTGTCCTATTAAAGGTGTAAATGCTTTTGCAAACACTTGTTTCATATTTCGAGTTTGTCTGTAAGTTTGATGATTTTGTAAATATTTAGTTAAAAACAGCTTTAAGTGTTGATCTGTGTAAAACTAAAAGAATAAGACATAAAAGGCTTTTCATGTTTTAAAACATTAATACAAACTCTAGTTTGCTTCTGGATCATCATTACCTCATTTTAAGAAGTTCAAACATTGATCTGATTACTTGAACAGTGTACCAGTAATAAATAGTAGTGTTAGTGATAGCAGTGAACAAACGTCCTGTTCAGATAAGATAAATTAGGTAAATTTGCTTTGACTGCAATAGAGGTTAAGATGAACTCTAAAATTATAGAACGTAATACTACTAGTATATAAAATTATTAGTGCTGTCAGCGTTAGTCTTGTTAAAATGACGTTAACGCCATAACCGCATTAACGTGGCAAATCTCCATTAGCGAGTTACTGCGTGGGGCTGCACGGCGTCAACGCGTTAGCGTGGTTAGGTCGTTAACGCATTAACGCCGTGCAGCCCTACGAGATTAACGCTGACAGCACTAAAAAATATACATAAATTACTATATTCACTTAGTTGTTACCCTCCTCTTTGAATCCAGCGCCACTGGACTATAGAGCTTACAATAAAGAAGGGGGGGGGGGTATTTTTGTGTAATAGTGCTTTTTTTCAGTCAGTTATTTCAGACATGTTGATCTTGTATATTTTGCTTTGTCTCTTTCTCTTTGTTTCAGCTCTGGATACCAAAGGGAAGGTCCTCAGAGTGCTGATATCAGTGGGGAAGCTGATTCTGCTTTTAGGTTTCCTCTATATGTTCGTCTGTTCTCTTGACATCCTGAGCTCAGCTTTCCAGCTTGTGGGAGGTACTCACTCTTAAACTTATCAGAAGCTGTGAGTTAATGTAATGTTGAGCAATAAACTTGCAAGTTATAGTCCTTTTACCACAGCAGACGTCTTGTTTTTAAGACACTGTGCAAGTCACCTTTAGCAGTACTCAGTTCTACTACTGTTTAAAATGTACCCGATCACCAATCCCAAGCATAATATTTTTATATTCAGAAATAAAATATGGTATGAATGTGAAAATGTTCACTCTCTACTGTTCACCTGGTCCAGGTAAAACGGCAGGTGACATCTTTCAGGACAACGAAATTTTGTCCAACCCTCTGGCTGGTTTAGTCATTGGTGTTCTGGTCACCCTGCTGGTCCAGAGCTCATCCACTTCCTCCTCCATAGTTGTCAGCATGGTCTCCTCTGGTTGTGAGTATGAACTTCTCCCCTCTACCAGCACATACAGAGACACATCCATGCACAGAAAACTCATCATGAGTGAGGATGATATTGAAGGAGGTCTTTGTGTCTCCACAGTGTTAACAGTTCAGGTAGCCGTTCCTATCATCATGGGCACCAACATCGGCACCTCGGTCACAAACACTCTAGTCGCCATGACGCAGGCTGGTGAACGCAACACTTTTCGGAGGTAATGAATTTGTGCTTCATGAAAGCTTTCTTTCCTTCTGCTAAACAGAAAAAAGTAACCCAGGAGAAAATATGTGTGTGTTCTTCATTATATTGTAGTAATATACAGAATTATATACCTTGCAAATTCTTTTTCAGAGTGAACTTACTGTACAGAATACATCTTTACTGACTTAAAAAAAGGATTGGGTGCATAAATTTGAATTTTCTGTAATCTACACATGGTCAAAACTATACACGCAGGCCCAAATATATACTTTATCCACTCCAAAACCAGTTTTGATGTGTGAACGTCCAACTGTTTCCAAGTTTCAACCATCTAGCTGTTGCTTTGAGATGAAGTTAGAGAATGTGTAGGACCTTTAGCTTCTCCTTTGCTTCACCATATGGGGGTGGTGTTGAAGGTCTCAGTCCATGGCGATATAATACTCACTTCACTGTGGACCGTTACGTGGTATTTCAGAAGTTTCTAGTTCATGGTAGGCTTGTTCCAGAATATCCTCAGCAATTTCTTCTCATCCCGGGGTAACGGTTTGGGTCTTCCTCCAGAACTCTACAGTTCTTCTTCTATGCTGGCAAAGAGAAATTATCAGCCGTAGTCACTCATGATCAAAAAATTCTTGCTTTTTTTTTTTTTATCATTTAAAGTCAGTAAAATGTATTCTGTACAATCATTCTACCCTGAAAGAAGAACAGTTCAATGAAGTCATTAAAGCCAAAAATTACCATGGCATTCATGCCAATGATAAATACATGTAATAATAATAATAATAATAATACATTTTATTTATAGGCGCCTTTCAGACCCTCAAGGTCACCTTACAGTAACACGTAAACAATACCATAAAAAACATAAGAAAAATGTATATAGAGCAAACATGGTAGATAAAATTTAGACATAAACAGTCATAAAAGTATAAAAGCAAATATAAAAACTGAGCAAAGTAAAAATGCCCTAAGACAGATCAGGTGTATGCAATTCTAAACAGATGGGTTTTGAGTAGTGATTTAAAAGTGGTGAGACAGTGTGTGGTCCGGAGAGCAAGTGGAAGTGCATTCCAAAGTCTCGGGGCAGAACAACTAAAGGTTCTGAGTCCCATGGTAGTCAGGCGAGCAGGTGGAACAGACAGGGAAGGGAAGCTGAAGAAGAGCAGAGTGTACGAAGGGGTGGGTATGTATGAAGAAGATTGGATAGATATGGAGGAGCAAAGTTATGAAGCGCTTTGAAAGTGAGAAGCAGGATCTTGAAATTGACATGGACGTGAATTGGGAGCCAATGGAGCTGTTTAAGAACAGGTGTTATATGTTCAGTGGATCTAGTTCTGGAAATAATACGAGCAGCTGTATTTTGAACCAACTGCAGTTTATGGAGGGATTTATGAGGTAAACCATAGAGAAGAGAATTACAGTAATCCAGACGAGATGTGACAAGAGCATTGACAAGTATGGCGGTACTGTGTGGTGTGAGTGAGGGACAAAGACGGTTAATATTATGGAGATGAAAGTGGGAAGACCGAGTGATATTATTTATATGTGCTGTGAAGGACAGAGTGCTATCGAGGATGACACCAAGACTCTTAACCTGAGGGGAGGGTGTGACAACAGAGTTATCAATGGATAACGAAAGACTGGTTGGAACTGTAGTCAGATTTGATCTGGTGCCTATTAAAATGAATTCTGTTTTATTGCCATTAAGTTTAAGAAAGTTGTGAGTAAACCAGACCTTGATTTCACTTAAACAGTCAGAAATGGATGTGGGTGGAAGAGTAGCTGTGGGTTTGGAGGATAGGAAGAGCTGGGTGTCATCTGCATAGCAGTGAAACTGGATGGTATGCTTCCTAAAAATATTACCTCGGGGTAGGAGATAGATGATAAAAAGTAAAGGACCCAGGACAGAGCCTTGGGGTACACCGGAATTATTAGTTATTGTGGGAAGTTCAAAATTGGATAGAGAGGATGACAGCTGAGAAGGACAAAAAAAATGCAGATAGAACAATTGACCATATCACAGGAGGAGGGCAATTGCTGATGAAGATTCTCAATCTTGGTGTAAAAAAAGTCCATAAATTTGTTGCAAACTGCGGCAGAGTGTGTATGTATGGCAAAGGTATCTGGGGGTTTAACAATATTATGCAATGTAGAAAACAAAGTGCGAGTGTTTCCTTCAGCGGATTCAATAACAGAGGTGTAGTAAGCAGATTTAGCATGATGAATAGCTTCTTTATAGTGTTGTATATGACTGAGACACATGTCCTTGTGAATAGTAAGTCCTGTTTTCCTGGAGAGATGTTCCATGCGGCGTCCAGTAGCTTTAAGTTGGCGAAGTTCAGATGAGTACCATGGCGCAGAGCGAGAGAAAGAAACAGTTCGAGTTTTTTGGGGAGCCAAGGTATCTAAGAGGTTGATAAGTTCATTGTTATAGTGAGATGCCAAGTCGTCTATGGAAGCTGAGGCATCAATGGTAGGTAAGTTATTAATGCCATGGGAAAGAGCTGATAGATCAATGCCCCTAATATTTCTAAAAGTAATTGAGCGGATTTGTTTATTTTTGTATAGTGGGAGACTAGCATTGAATAAAACTAATTTATGGTCTGAAAAGGCCATGTACAATACAGCACATTTCTTAGGGGTGACACCAATACAGCAAACAAGATCCAAAATGTGTCCTTTGGAGTGTGTGGGAACGTCCATATATTGGTGTAAGCCAAAGTTGTCCAGACAAGATATAAAATCTCTTGGGGCTGATGTGTTGTCCATGTGGATGTTAAAATTGCCCAGCAGTAGTATATTTGGAGATAAGAGTAGGGTTTCGGCGAGAAAGTTAGAAAAATCAGTTAGAAGTCAGTTGATTTTAGGTGGACGGTAAACAGCAACTGATACTGTGGGGGTTGGTCCATTAATTTGAATCAGCATGGATTCAAACGAGGAGTAGGCAGGAGCAGAAAGAGAGGATACCTGTAAGCATCTGACCCCAACTGTAGCTTTCCTTACTGCAGCAGCAGTACATGTGATGATCTGTCCTGAAAAGATGAACATAGATAAATTAAAAGTGTGATGAACTTACTGTGAAGTTATACATATTTCCGTCAGAATTACTTTATTGTGTTTTTATGGATACTGTTATCTGCATTCAATTTTAGATAACTAATCCTGTGAATTTTATTTCATTTTATGATGTTTTGTTCTTTTCTTGACTTGTTTACTTAGCTGTAAATGAATATTAATCGGTCTTTTTAATTACTGTCTTATTATCTGTATTATTATCTTACCTCTGAAGTCCTTTGAACTCCAATAACCTGCTACTATGTAACTGACAAACAGCCTTCTTTTCAACCTAAGATTCTTAGGCCTCCGGGAAATAAAATAAATACAAAATTAACCATGTAATATTTAATAAAAATAAATAAAACAACAAACAAAATAATTAATTTTTATTTTATGAATCTCAGGTTCAGAGAAAAGATAAATGGTACACATTTCCTAGAATTCTTTACCTGGAAAGCAGTGATATCACGCTTTCATTAGAAAGATCAAAGGTCATTGTTGTCTTGCTTTTGTGTTTCATTATGCACTTAGAGCTTTCGCAGGGGCCACGGTGCACGACTTCTTTAACTGGCTCTCAGTGTTGGTGCTGCTGCCTCTGGAGGTAGCCAGTGGTTACTTGTTTGTGGTCACCAAGCTCATCACTGATTCATTCGAAATCCAGAGTGGAGAGGCCCCAGATCTGTTAAATGTGATCACTGACCCCCTCACTGAATCAATCATAGAGGTAAGATGTCATTATTATCTTAATTTTCCAAATAACAAACAAACATGCAGCTGCCTTATTCAGTTTTTGGTCATCAATCTGGTGAAAAAACGTGCTTGACAGGCCTGGATGATACAGTAAGAGTGGCCATGCATAACATCTATATATAACAGCAGAATTTCACCTCTATCTAAAATGACATTGAGAACACAGAGTATTAAGCAGCATGATTAATTTCCTGAAAGATGAATGCTGACATGAATGTCTGTTGTCTATTGCTTTTTTTCACACTCTTAACATTATCAGACAGATAAGATGCTCATATATAAGGCTGTTATCTCTCATGGTTTATAGTTTACAGTTTATTTCCTCCTCCCTTTTTCCTTCTGACTCAGCTGGATGAATCTGTGATTAGTGGGATTGCCACCGACGATCCAGAAGCTAAAAACAAGAGCCTCATAAAGAGATGGTGCCAAACCTTCACCAACACAGTAAGACCAAAGCATGTCAAATATATCCAAATATACTCCAACGAACTAAGAATTAAATGCTGAATATATGTTTTCCACCCTATTTCAGACCTTAATGAATGTCACAGTTCCTGGTCCAGAGAACTGTACCTCTCCTTCTCTGTGCTGGGTTGATGGCAACTATACCTTCACGCTAAAGAACGTTTCTCAGACATACAATATAAAGAAATGTAAGACCACTATTTACTTTAATTTAATTATGTAAATAAAGGAATAATGTTTACATCACAATATAATAGACAGTCTCCTTGTAGAGACATTTGGATTGAACTGTGTACTTTTCATTGTCCTTGTGGGACAGTAGTCTGCCCAGATTAAGCATCTCATATACATATACATTAGATATACATCAGATGTCATCATAATAATAGTGCAATTTACTAATAGCACTGCGAGTCTATCAGTAAATAGCATACAAAAGTTACTACAGAAGTATCAAACATTATATGAACAAAAGTAGTGGGACACCTACACATTATGCCTACAGGAGCTGCTTCAGCTTGGAGACTCATGCCATGAAGCTTCCAGCACACAGTTTTTGTGCTGATGTTAATGCCAGAGGTATTGAGCTGTTCAGTTATTGCATCAGTAGAGCACCGGTGACTTTTACGCACCACGCTCCACAGCACTCAGTTTATCAGGTCTACCTCTTTAAGGCTGAGTTGCCGTGTTTCCTGAATGCTTCCACTTTGCAACAAAAATGCATTGCATTGAAGTATCTTACTCAAATTCAGTGGGCCCATTCTTTTACAAATGTTTATAATGGTAGACCTATAAACATTTTTACACTCCTGTGGCAATGAGGCTGAATGAAACACTTGAATTCAAAGACATGTTAAGACATGTAGGCCAGTAGTTTTGTCCATATTGTGTATTTCTTTCTTGTAATTATGTGCGTGTTTCTGTGTGTTGCCAGGTACACACCTCTTTGTGGATGTGAATCTGTCCGATATGGCGGTGGGTCTGATTCTGCTGGCTCTCTCTCTGTTCGTGCTCTGCTCCTGCCTGATCCTCATAGTCAAGCTGCTCAACTCTATGCTGAAGGGACAGGTGGCTGTTGCCATCAAAAAAGTCCTCAACACCAGTGAGCATCACTGCACTCTATAAATTCTGTAAAAAACTGGATGCGATGTGTAGAATAATACATGAATGTTCTTGTATCTCTGCACAGATTTCCCATTTCCATTCGGTTGGGTCACGGGCTACATCGCCATTTTAGTTGGTGCTGGAATGACCTTCATCGTGCAGAGCAGCTCAGTGTTCACTTCTGCCATTACGCCACTAGTTGGTGAGGTTAATTATGCATTCATCCATTACTTCTATCACCTCCATGTATTTATTATTAAAAACAGCATTGATGCACAATTGCGAATATTTGTTTCCTTCTGAATATTTTTTCTAAAGATTTCTATATCTTGTTTGTCTTCTTTGTGTGACTTTTTAGGCAGTAAAGGACAGAATCTGTCTGAAAGGAGTGAAATTATTGTTCTTTTCTTGATATTTTTGTTTATCCATAATGACCAGGACCTAAATCTAATGACTGTAATATCATGGTGAAGCAGATAGTGATGGTCGTCAGACACATGGTGTAAGGATGTGAAAATATGTATTCCAACCATGTCGTTTTTAATTCAATAGGCATTGGTGTCATCAGTATAGAGAGAGCGTACCCACTGTGTCTTGGTTCAAATATCGGCACAACCACCACAGCCATTCTGGCAGCCATGGCTAGTCCCGGAGAAACTCTGGCTGACGCTCTACAGGTCAGTCATTCCCACAAAAACACTCTCCTGTCCTGGTTAACATTAAATGTGTCAGTAGTTGTATTTAGAACCTCTACAAGCCTTTCTAAGGTTTTATACTGTACTTCTTCTTATTTAAAAAAAAAAAAAAACATTTTCTTAATTTATAATAATTTAAATATCATTGCAGGTACAGCTTCTCATGGGAAATTATGTCATATTTGCTATTTAACACATTTCCTATGGTTACCTACATATTAAGGTCTGCAAAAATCCAAATGACTATTTTTACCCTAATAATAATATTTTATCCGACTGATTTAATTTTTATTCAACTGTGACATTTAGCTTAACTTTAAATTTGTGGTTTGAGGGGGAAATTGGGTGCCTCCATGAAAATGTGGGACAAATCGTTGTGGAAACAGCTGTTGCAAATATAAACTTACTGGACACTTCATTAGGTACACCTTATCAACTGCTTGTTAATACTATCCAGAAAAGGTGGGCCGTTCTTTAAATTTGAACAAAATGAAAACTAAAAGACTTTCAAATCACACGAGCCAGTATTTTATTCACAACTCCAAGCACAGATAAGATAACAAATGTTAAAACTGAGAAATCTTATAATTGATTAACAAAATGAGCTCATTTCAATTATGGGTGATTTCAGTAACCTCGACTTGTTGGTGCCAGATGAGCTGGTCTGAATATTTGAGAAACTACTGGGATTTTCCCAACAACTACATAAAAAAATAGGTCGGAGGAGAATAGCCATACTGCTTCAAGCTGATTGGTGCAATTTAAATAACCACTAATTAACGACTCTCAATGCACACCACATCGAACCTTGAAGCAGATGGGCTACAGCAGCAGAGGACGACACCAGATGCCCCTCCTGTCCGCTAAGAACAGGAAACTGAGATTACAGTTCACACAGGTTCTGCGACATTCAGATGGTTGGGACAGAATTTGCTGTAAACAACATACATGGCTCCATTGTGCTTTGCATCAAAGATTCAGGCTGGTCGTAGTGGTGAAATAGGGTGGGAGATATTTGGCACATTTTGACCCCCTAGTACCAACTGAGCATCTCCTGCTGGCTGCATCCAGCAGGATAACACACCATGTCATAAAGCTCAAACTATGTCAAACTGGTTTCTTGAACGTGACAATGAGTTCACTGTACTCATCCCAGCCTCCGCAGTTACCCGATATCAATCAAATAGAGCACCTTTAGGATGTGGCAGAATGAGAAATTCATATCATGGATGTGCAGCTGACCTATCTGCAGAGGTTGTACGATGCTCTCGTCAATATAGACCAAAATCTCTGAATCATGTTGAATCCATGTCAGGAAGAATTGAAGTCCAAGCAAGGTGCACCTAATAAAATGACCAGTATCTTTGTGGCTCTGACATCTTGTGCCAAATCATTTATTTTCAATAAAAAAGAAACTTATCAGGAAATTATCAACCTGTAAAAGATTACATTTTTTATTCTGAATTTGTAGCAAGCTTCCTCTTTGCACTTACACTGATGCTTGTTGTTTGTTAACAATTCAGATTGCCCTCGTGCACTTCCTGTTCAACATCTCTGGCATCATTCTGTGGTATCCCATTCCATTTACCCGCGTCCCTATCCGGTTGGCTAAAGGTCTGGGCAGCATCACGGGCAAGTACCGCTGGTTTGCTGTAGTCTACATCATCTGCTGCTTCTTCGTTTTACCGCTTCTCATTTTCGGCCTGTCGCTGGCTGGCTGGAAGGTACTGGTGGGCGTGGGTGCTCCTCTACTCATCATGTTGATCATAATCATTGTGATCAACATACTACAAAAGCGGAAACCTGGGTGGCTGCCTGAAGTTCTGCGATCCTGGGACTTCCTCCCACTATGGGCACACTCCCTGGCACCCTGCGACAAAGCAGTTGGGGTTTTAATCGCAAAATGTTGTTGCTGCTGCAAATGCTGCCAAGCTGCATCAGACGACCAAGAAGACAGAGCAGAACAATTGGAAAATAACAAGACAACACACACAGCAGTATATGACAATCATGCAATGAGTGTAGAGAATGAAGCAGAAGATGGGATGAAAATAGAGTTAAATATCCTGAAAATGACCACGCTTTGAGATTTGATATTTTAAGTGCAGTTGTGGTCAGAAGTTTACATGTACTCGTCATGGCCATGAACGTAACTGTGATGTTGGAGTTCTAGTAATTTCTTTAACTGTTGTTTTTCCAGGAGGGAATTAAGCCAACTTACAGGACTTTAAAAAGCAAGAACTGGGTGCAAGTTTGAATGTATTTTGGATTTTCTCTAATCCACACAGGGTCGAAATTCTACATAAACTCATTTAGGTTGTGCTGATAGTTGTACAATGTTATTAAAACACCTTTTTTCAATTCTTCAATTCAAACAATTCTCTGTAAGTACAAGTTATTTGTCACCACTTTGCCAACTTCTAGAAGAAGACCCCAACTCTCACCCCTTAGATGACAGGGAATTGTTCAGGAACATGTTGAGAAACCACAAAGGCTCAAGCCTGCCATGAACTGGAAACTGCTGAAAACCAGCAGTAGGAACTGAACAATTGAAGCATGTTTTACATTGCCATGGACTGAGACGGCGCTGACCAAGACAGAAGTCCTTGCTCCAAAATCAACACCTTAAACAACTGATCTGCAATTTTCAGCTTCAAGCCACATGCCAAATTTTATGGTCAGGTGACACAAAGATTGAGCTGTTTGATCACAATGAGAAGATGTATGTTTGGATGGTTAAAGGTGAGGCTTTCAAACCTAAGAACACAAATTTATGGATTATGCTTAAAAGCCAGGTTTTTGCCAGGAGACCAGCCAATTTAAACCAAACTCTGCCAAGACTGATGGATGCCAAAAGTATCTGGCCGGACTGCAACTTGATAAGGGACATTTAATCAAATATGTCATTTTGACGCTTTGTGGATGAGAGAAATTCCAAAATAAATTCAAACATGTGTACCCTATTGATATTTTTTACTGTCATTAAAGATGTATGCTGTACTGTCATTCCACCATGGAAAAAACAGTTCCAAGAAATCATTAAAAATCCAAAAATCTCCACGATGTATTTAAAGTTAAAGAAACATACTAATGGACATATTGTAGTGTAACATAGGAAATGACTGCATAGACGAATGCACTAAAACGTTACATCGTTAACTGAAGTGACCTTGAAATACGAGTGGAAATCTATAATTATATTAATGTCAGCAAATCCTATGAAAGGATCAAAACCAACCACTTTAGTTTCTTGGAGTCATCATATCGCGACCCCAAACCTAACCCTAACACTAAGGCTAGCCAATCAGAATGTGTGTATGTGTGTTTTTTTTCACAGAATATGTAATATTTGTTTTGGGGTTGTTGTTGTTTTTTTTCTCCTGAAAAATCCTCTTTTACTTTTTCCACAGCATACTATTAGAGTGGGGTTAGGGTTATTAACTATGATGACTTAGATCTCGGAGTACTAATACTTCATAATTTAGCAAGTTTATGATTTTAACATCAAATCAGTTTGGCCTTGCTGAAGACATAAATGCAGCAAACATCAGTGCAATTCTATTAACCTTATAAAGGACATCATCATTTCTTAAAGCAGCTTGGTACTTTAATTGTTTTTACCTTCATTATTTAAATGAAGGGAAATTTTTATTTGACTATTTTTCTGCTGTAAATCAGGGAACAAGACAGGGAACTGTGACAGTGCCAGTCAAATACTTTCACCCAGACATGTTGATTTTCGCTGTTTGAAATTTTGCTATAAAAATGCTTATTTTATTTATGAGTCCTGCTGAGTTGGTGAATTTAAATTTTAATAGTTCCCTGGTTCATGAGTAAAAACTTGAAAAACCCAGAGGCTTCAACTAAATTTTGTGTTGTGTCATTGTGTCAGTATGCCATCATGATTTTCTGCCTGCTCATTGTTTGCTGATGAACATTTAGCTCATGTGTACAGCCTCAGAACTGGTAGCATCGCTATAAAGTGGTGTATGATGTGACAAATTTTAGCTACACAGACAAAGCTAGACTCAATCATGTTGACTTTGGTCTTTTAAATCAATTTGTGTGTGGATATAAAAATGCAGAATACCAGTCTTATCCTTTTGACATCTGAGTAACTGTATTGTCATGAACTAACATAACATAACATTTAACATAATAACTGTGGAGTCTGAGATGCAGTGCTTGTTTTTTGTTGTTGTTTGTTTGTTTTTTGCAGTTTCATTGGCACACCAACCTGTCATGTTTACCTAGTTTTATCATTTTCCCATTTTTGTATTTTTATACAGAGACAAAAAAAATCACTGTGTATAAAAGACACATTCAGATCTTTAAAACATCGTTTTAAGGTGTAGTATAACTTTGTAATTGAAGAGGTAATTGTATTCAAGGAATATATAGTCCGGAATTAGATGAATGCACATCTAACAATTTGTTTTTGTTTGTTTAATTGTGAGTTGTCCCCCCAAAAAAACTGTGTTAAAAAGCAAAAAGAATAAAATAATGCTAGATTCATCAATTGGTATGGTTTCCTGACCC